ATCTTTTCACTTCACTTCCACCGTTGCCATATGGAATTGTCTGTAATACGATATGCCGCTGACATTTTGTAACGGGCTCGAAATGTCCCCGATTTCTGGTGATGGACCGAAAGAGAGGATACGTATTTAGAAACAATATCACAAAATCAACTACACTCCAAATCGAGTTAAATAAGCGGCATCTGTCTGAATGTTCTCAAGCAAAAAGTCAACATGAAAATGGTTGGATGTAGTTCAATCAAAGGAAACTTCATTCCGCAAGGGAACTCAGAGCTTTTTTTGCCCAAAGCTCATGATAAAACCGAAAAACGTCTTTCTTTAGCTCATTACCAAGCTCTTTCTTAATCTTTTTGCACACATGTCGCTTTAAACATTGCTGATCCTAGCAGTATGCAGAACGCGCGTCACATGTGGGCTCAACGATGACCCAGCGCAACCATGGTAGCCCTGCGGCTCAGTGATAGTCTGAGGGTCTGAGGTTTGCTTCTCATCATCTCATCATAACTCAGAACATCTTTTTTGTGGCAAGCTCGTGACGAGACAAAAAAAATAACACATTTCGCTGAGGAAAACTCAGTTTGATGAAGAAACATTTTTTATATTAAGATCAATCCGAACGATGACAGAACCTCGATCACATTTATTCCCATCTTATTATTAATTCCCATTATTGCTTCATCAGAGGATAAGTTTTTGCTCAATTGATCGCTGGTAAGACCATAGTGCAATGCTTTACCTGTCCTCTAAAGATTGCAGGCTCAAGCCCTGCTGAAGACCACGAAAACGCTTCTTGCTACGTTATTTTATTTTCTGTTTCCACGTTGATGCAAAACTCAAGACAATCAGAAGCACTTCCGCCGATTGAAAATGCTTCAAAGTCTGTTCGCTGATGACACGACAGTTTTCTGCATCGGAGACTCAGCAGACCTGGCAATTGCACAGTTAAATAAGACTTTACACGAAATTTATACTTGGTGCCTAAACAACCAGCTAACACCTCACCCTGGCAAGAGTAAAGTGATGCTGCTCAGCTCGAGAAATCTGATGGGCCCTATAGCTCCTGCGTTCTTAGGAAGTTTTAATCTTAGTTGGGTCTCGAAAACACGCTTGCCTGGCCTGACGGTCAATGGCAAGCTTACATGGACACCATATGTTCTGGAAATCAAGAAGAACTTTGCAGCTAAGTTAGACTTATTGAAAAGATCTAAATTTTTATCGATAAAGGTACTACGCGATTTGTATTTTAAAGTAATTCTGCCGTCCGTACAGTATGGTCAACTATTGTGGGGTGCATGCAGTAATTCGGATTCGTTATGCTCCATAGAACGATTACACTGCCGAGCAGCTAGAATTATCTATAACCTGCCTCAAGACATGGCATCATGCGACGTGCTCAATTATAACCACTGGTCTACTCTGTTTTCACTCTACAAGATGGATATTTTTAAACTTTTCTATAAAGCACATAATGAGTCTCTCCCACAATTATTAGACAAGTATATTTACATTGTTACGTGCACGAATGACCAAAAGAATGTCCGCTAACAAAGCATATATGAAAATAGACTCCCGAGTACGATATATGGCACGCAACAAAAATGTAACAACAAGCAGTTACCCATTTTAACTATTATTTAATTAGTTTTACATTGTTTAATCTACTTAGGTTAGAGATTAAGTTAAGCAGTTCATAAAGCAGGCTTACAATCCTTCATGCCGTGTAAGTGTTCGTCGTCTTGATCAACTTCCAATTCCAACATCCGCCGACTGAAGACCACAGCGCTTGGCTTTCTTGATTTATCGCATTCTTTCCTTGTACACAAACTCTTCCGGAGGACTCCATAGTAAACTCTGTATTCTCTACCTTCTTCCTCTATCGACTATCGTCTTTTTCATTTCTTTCTTCTCTCCGGATATCGCAAGGTCAAAAGGTCATAGCCTCGTCATATCATAGCTTCCAAAAGTTCAGTCAGCAAGCCACGAGGGTAAGCCGTCGGGCAAATCTCTTTTGTACTTCTCACAAGCCGGCTTTTATACATTTACTTTGGTAGAATGTACTATTACTATTTATAGCGTATTACAAGTTGTACTATTTTTGGAAACTGCTGAGTCACATGAAGGAAGTTTCTGGAATATTACAGATTATAGATAATTCTAGAAAAGTCTGGGATTGCGTGACAGATTCAGTAAAAATAATTCGATCCTCGTAACAACATCAAACGTTCCTTGAGAGGAGTCGATTCACTGATAGTTCCAAGATTTAATACTAGGTTTATGAAAGATTCCCTTGCCTATAGAGGTACAATCTTTTGGAACACTATTAGCTTAAATGAACGTAATATCTTGCACAAAGACCCGAATGAGCTATTTCGAAATTTGAAAACTGACAAAGCCTTATTTTAGAGATTTTAAATTGAATATTGCTTCAGCTTCAGCTGTCCGCCATAAAAATGATGACTTTCTCTACTTTTGATTAAGATGCTAGTTTTAGCCTTTTACTTATTTAGCTAGTCTTCTACTTATTTAATAATGTATAAACTAAATACATGACCCCTCAAGCTGTTAGCTTTAATTATTACTCTGTTTAAATAAAGGTCTTATCTTATCTTATCATGTTGAATTAATACTTTAGTTGTTCTAGGCTTAACCAGTCTTACGCGACAAAAGATGACGTAATGTCTTTTCTTAATTGTGGAAGAACCTTTAGTGCTCTGTTTTTTTACTTTTATCGATCCGTAAAAAGTCCATCTCCAGTTCAAACACAGAAAGGGCTCCTTTTAAAGCTTAATCACAGCCGTTCGAGAGCAAAATGTACATAATAGCCACAAACTCATCACGCAAAACAAAATGGTTCATGAATCATGTTTAATTCAGCTCTTAATTCATGGGTCACGTTTAAATCAAAATATTAATTCACGTGGACATAATAAGAGCTTATCATCTCATATCACGATTCACGAGTAAAAAAATTGAATTGCGATTCACAAGGAAAAAGATCTCCTAATCGCACCTCACGTAAAAAGTATAGGCGATCCTCAAGACAAGGAAGAACATCTAAAGTGCGCTACATAAAAAGAGAATAATCCCTCTTGGCCACTTTTTCTGTCGAAATAAAATAAAGCCTAGGGCATTCTTTGCCTTTTGCTAAAGATCTTCTAAAAATGTGTTTCTGGCAGGGCTCGAACCTACGACCTTCCGCGTGTGAAGCGGACGTGACAACCACTACACTACAGAAACCAGATCCTAAATTACTATAACGCCTCATCGAAGCAAATGTTACCTTTGGTTCCAAACAGATCCTCCAACTGATCATTTGTGCTACGGGAGAGACCATTGGAAGCCTCCATGCCAACAAAACGGAACACAGTCTTGGAAATCAGAATCATATTCATTTATGAATAGTTCATATTCGGAGTCCGTGTGCCTACGCACAAATTTTGATATATCCACTTGCGCAGAAAGTTGAATTTGGTGAAAGAAATTCCTTCGTGTTAAATGGTTCATGCCATCAATTGGCTGGACTGCAAGTCTTTATTCGATCTAAAAGAAAGAACTACGTGATATGCAAGAAATTTCGAGAGATTCATAAAAATTGAGTCGAGGAGAGCTAAAATGAAAATACTAAAAGTTCAACTGGCCAACGACATAACTTACTTTTGTGGCATTATCCAACCAAATTTGTCTCCCGATCAAAGAAAAACAAGTGGTTCAGCAAGCAGTTCAACAAGTAAGCGAGGAAAACGTATTTATAGAACGAACGCGCGGTTAAAACTGTTTCAATGTTAAACGACTATGTTCATCATAAATCAATAATAAATCAAATGTCAATCAACGTGCTAACTTTAAAATTTTTATCAATATTCAAAGTAGGTTATCAAGTCACCAAGGAAACAATTTCTCGCACAATGTCTAATAAAAAGGCAGTTGCAAGTTCCTCAAGAATCGCAGACTTAGATTTGATTACTCTTGTCAACAATCTTTTAGTCCATGAAATATTTGACGAGTGCTGATAAATTTGAATTGATTTTTGATCGCCTCTATATATCAAAGGAATTGATTTTGGATTTCAAAAAAAGAACCCATTTTGAAACTTTTGGCCTCCAGGTATCACTTAGTACTAGAAAACAGGATGAAGACAAAAGTACGTCTCCCCGGCGGGGAATCGAACCCCGGTCTACCGCAAGACAGGCAGGGATACTCACCACCATACTACCGAGGAACTCGAATGGATTGAGAGTAAATAATATTTGTTAATAGATATTTTTTTGGTTCTTTTTGTTTTCACAACTCACCCGACTAAAGGGGTGAGGGTGTCTTCAATAGAAAATAAATCAATGATATCTTTCTTGTTGGCCTGTGTATGTTGCATTAATTTGCATCTATTTCAGTCCAAGTGTTGTTGTTAGGAGTCTGATAATTCTCTTATTATTACATGCACCAAACATACCGAAGATCACAAGTTCTAGCCCTTCCAGAACACTATAAGCTTTATATTCCTCGCCTCTAAGGTTTTTTTGCTTTTTATATGAGATGTAAATCACGCCTAAAAGTGTATCTTTACTTGAAATTCACTTAAAGGTAAACAGCGCTTACATTTAGAATGAGTTTAACAAAGACATAGGTTTTTTGAATATTGCTTAGCAACCTGTCCGCTGACCGTAACGTAAAAAACTTCGGCTCACAATAATGCTGCAATCAAACCAGCGTAGACTTGAGGACGCAGTGGTCAATCTTCTGCGCAGGTGCAACCCTTGTAGTAGATTGGTGGTAGCGTGCTTTCAGGCTGTCACAACCAAGTTGTTTTAAAGGAATTCTAAGCAAGCACACAAGCCACTAAGTCGCGGTGTTTCAAAAGCGTAGAACTTTTTCCTATAGAGATAAAGAAAAATACAAGACAACATGGATTCTATTTGTTAAAGAGCTGAGAGATGATAAATACTATGCTGCAAAAAAAGGGGATCAACGAGTTTCTACATGACCCTTTATAAAAGCATGTAATGTGTCTCTGGCAGGGTTCGAATCTGCGACCTTCCGCGTGTTATGCGAATGTGATAACCACTGCACTACAGAAACCACCCTGGAATATGTTAAAAAAGTCTTAGTCTTTATGACACATTATAATCCAACAAATATTTTTGTTCCAGCGCGATTGGTCAAAACGTATCATTTGTCCAAATATCTCCCAGAGTAAATCTGGGGGGATATCAGAGGATATACACCAAGTGACGTCCAATAAGGAGAACTCTACGCATAAAATGTTACTCAACATAAGAAACAGAGGAGGGAGCAAGTTTTTTTGTTAATAAAATCATATCAGAGAATACTGTCAACATCCCACGCCGTAAACGGCAAGCTGTTTGTAATTAGTGTTTCTCGCGTTGAAAAATATTTGGCGCGAAAATATGCTGGTATATTTGACTTTGGACATTATCTGTTCCTCGAAGCTCACACTTTTCCTCGAGCTTCGCTGTCGAACAACTCGTCGTGTCTCGGAACAGATAATAGGGACTTTACGAACCAGAACGCGACTAACTGAGAAAACCGAAACCGAGAAGGGCCCGGCGTGAGAACGCCGTCACGAGCGCGGGAAAAACAAATTAAGAATGCGAACGCGACGACAAAGACAGAGCTGTGCAAATCCTAAACTCCGCTAAACATATTTTCGTTTTATAGCTGCTGTTATACGTCAGAAATGGCAACATTCAGAGAGGCAAGGGAAGCTTTATTGTTAGCCTATCAAGATGGAAGCAATGATGATACAGAGTTTGCCCTGTTGTGCGATTTAAATTCTTCTGAAAATCTCGAATTTCCTTATTGGAAGTATGGTCGCTTCGATTTTGATTCTATGACAGATGATGAGTGTAAGACTGAGTTTCGGTTTTTCAAGAACGATATTCATTTACTCGGTGAAGTTCTTGATATTCCAGACATAATGAACGCAGAAAAACAGTTTTGCCTTTAAGGTAGCAAAAGAAAATTTAATTCTGGTTGAAATTCAGTTGAAACTACTTCTCTTCTTTGCGACGAACTCTTTCTTGTTTTGAACGGATTCTCGGAAACAACCTCTGCATAACAGGACATCATCCCCGCTTGTCCAGTACATCACATTACTGAAACATATATATAAAGTTTAAACTCACTTTCATCGTATAGTTAAGCAGGACAGGAAGTTGAATCTTTTAATAAACTAAATTGGACTTAATTGCCAGTTTTCGACTTTGGTATCGAACTCGGAGGGTCTGCGTGTTGTTCATTCATCGTAGCTGCAACCGATTGACCCGCAATAAAAAGGCAAATTAAAATGTTTGTTTGGTATTTTTTACAATAAATAACACTTTCATGGACTCAGAAAAACAGTTTTGCCTATAAGGTAGCAAAAGAAAACTTAATTCTAGTTGAAATTCAGTAGAAACTACTCACGTTTTCTGGAAACGCTGCAAGTACCAATCCGTGTTCTGAACGTGAAGAAGACGCGTTGCAGTTTAGCGCCAAGCATGCGCAGTGAAGCACTTTGTGAGTAAATTACTTGCGGTGACGTTTCAGGCTACGTGACGTTTTGGTTCGTAGAGTCCTTAATGTCCGCAGATAAATATCCTACCATATTTTCGAAAATCTGCAGCATATCTCGTGTTTATTGCGTCGAGTTCAGAGTCTGCTCAGTTTCCAAGCCCTTCGTCCGTGTAGTGTTCTCAAACTTTTGCAAACTAAGAAAGAAAAAAAAAATTGAGTTGTATATCGTATGGTAGTTTAGTCGCCATAAATTCTAATGGAAGTTCGACTTGCCGGTCTGTTAAGTTTTGGAAGCTTTTTCTATTAAATATATATAATAGAGTTCGGATATACCCTCGGAAAGAAGGCTCTAAAGAAAGGAATGAGCCATTTCTATACAAAAAAAATAACAAACTCTAAGATCTTCGGTCGGCCATCTGAGATTGTCAGGGGATATCCTCGCAGAAAACGGCTTTTAAAAGTGTACCCAGCTCCTGGCATGTTATTTCTAATGAGAAGCTGTACGAACCAGCATCTACCTCAGGTAGGAACCCACAAATAAGTCAGACCACGCCTCTCTCATCAATTTCTCCATGAAATGTCTTAGTCCATGAAATATTCGACAAGTCCTGATAAATTTGAATTAATTTTTGATCACCTCAATATATCACACAAATTGATTTTAGAACTTAAAAAAGACCCCATTTTAAAAAGTTTCGACTCCAGCCACTTAGTACTCGGAAACTGGAGGAAGACAAAAAGTGCACCTCCCCGGCGGGGAATCGAGCCCCGGTCTCTCCCGTGACAGGCAGGGATACTCACCACTATACTACCGTCCTGGCGCTGTGGCGGTGATGACTAACAGCCAGTAAAGTTTGAAGTTCCTCCTTCCCATACTGTTTAAGCGCTAGGATCAGTAATGTTGAAATTGTCATGTGTGTAACTTAGGGTGCGAGAGGTCCCGGGTTTGACTCCCGGACAGGCCAGATCAATGTTACTTTTGGAAACAATTTTTGGGTGTTATAAAACCAGCAAGTCAAGCTTCCCTTAGAAAAATGTACGCCGATTGCATTACGTATGCGTTATTGACCAAGCTTGAGATGATGAATATTGGCCAAGTTCGAGAACGACTCCATCTCAGACATTGCCAAAAATCTACGATATTTGTAATTCCGCTCCACGCAATGGTTTTTCTTGTACGGGATCTAAGTGGGTAATTTCGAGCGAGCAGGATGGGCCCATCTTGCCTTCTCGGCCAGCCAATAAGAACGCAACATTCGCTTCATGTTGTCCACTGGCGCTGCCAACGATATAATAATATATGTGATACACTTATGTACACACATGTATTTGTTTCCTTGATCTTCAGGGGCCCTAATCCATTGCGTTTTCTTTTTCAGTAAGAGCTCTTATATTTGCTATCGAAGATTCATATTATGCTTCTGAAATATAGAAAATGGCTGAACATGGGAGTTTGAGATGTCCTTTATACGACTTTTGTGCATTATCAATCAGGGGAGGTGACGTTCGTGTGGCTTTTGTCCATTTTAATAATATATTAAGAGTCTTACTTTCCTTTGCGCGGGCTGGTGGATCAGTCATCATCCATTGCTAGGGACGAGGGTGGGGAAACAGAATTTTTGGGGGATCGCATGTTTTTGATTTAAGGGCGGGAACGGAGGGTGGATCAGTCGCCTCTAAATTTAAGGGGGTTATGACCAGCTCCCAGTTGGCTTGTTAGCTCAGTTGGTAGAGCACTGCGCCGGTATCGCAGAAGGCATGGGTTCCCGTACAGGTCTGAATTTTTATCAGGCTCTATTTTCACGACTGCTTAAGTAGTAGTCATTACTGCAAAGATCGCTCTCATACTTAATAAGGAATTATCAGATTCCTGACGACAACACCTGGACTGGAAAAGATGCAGATTAATGCAACATATACGGGCTAACAAGAAAGCTTACAATGATTTATATCCTACTGAAGGCAGCTTCTTTACAGC